CGAGTTTTGGGGCGGCTTAGAGCACAGCTCTGCTCCTTAAGAAAATTTAGCAAATTAATTGATATTTAATTTCACAAATTAATAGCCACACATAAAAAGCATGCATTTTCTTGAAAATAGCAGCATTTGGGTTTTCATTAATTACACAAGGTGTCTTGATCCTGAAGCAGGAAAGAAATCTAAGAACATCACAGTCTAATTACCATATTTGGTAAGATGTTGCACTTCTCAAATGTTAGTTGTATGCAGGATGGTACGTATTGCACATCCTACATCCTACATCTGTGTCATAACAGTTTATTTTCTAAGGGAATATTAGTGATGTTTTTATCTTTTTGGTCAGCACTATATTTTAGCTCAGAACTCTTGTATGAATATGATATTTACCTAGTCTCTTTCTTATTGTTTAACTATAAACTCAGAACTTTTTTTTAACTTTTATCCTTATTGCTTGAATGAAATCGGAATTAAATCTACCTTTAAAGTAGACAGGTTGTAATTGTATAGGAAAGACCTGTATTTTTGTGACCTTTAACCTTATTGATAATTTGATTTTAAATACTGTTGGCTTCTTGTGTCAAAGCACATAATGAAAGTCAGCTGTAGATCACCTTACACATTTAAATCACTGTGACTGATATGAGGCTAGAATGATTCATNTTCATAAAAAAAAAACATTTGTAAATGTGAAAATGCTAGTGTAACATCAGACCTATTTATCACATTTTCTTAAAAAAGCACTATAATATATGAATATACTCTTTTATTAAATCATTAGTAATCAATTTAAATTTAAGAATTAAGGACATAACAATGTTTACTGCTTTGATAAATGCATCTCAAATTACGTTATTTTCACATTGCAAATAAAAATATTCCCACTTTTTAATGTATTGAATTTGTAGCACTCTTTGCTTTAAACACCTTCTGAGGTTGCAGTTGTTCCTATTTATCTACGGGTTTGTTTTTTTGTGACCTTTTTAGATTTCAGACACAAAGGTTTGCTAATGTCTTTAGCAGTTAAGGTTCTACAGCAGGACCTTGTTTTTATTCATAGCCACTCTCGTCCAGCCTGATCCTGCAGGTGTAGTGATGGCCATGCCTGGTACTAATGTAAGTTTAAAGTAAATTAGAAACAGCAAAGCCTTTAACTGATACCCCTTGGACCAGCCGTCGTGGCAGCAGAGACTCCAGAACTTCCCCCTCTGCAGACACCTCCTCCAGCTTTGCTTGGGGAAGCCCCCAGACCAACCAAGAGATGTAGTCCCTGTCCTGGGCCTCCTCCCAGTGGGACTTGCCTGGAACATCTCTGAGGGAGTCATCCAGTTAGCAATATGAAAACAATGTTGGAGGTGGGCGTGCAGGTGGCGCAGTGGTTAATGCGCATGTACCCATGTATGGAGGCCTTAGTCCTCAATACGGCTGACCCGGGTTTGAATCTGACCTGTGGTCCCCAGCTCTCATACCCCCTTTCCTGTCAGCCTACTGTCAGAGAAAACAAGCCACTAGTGCCATAAAAACTCACAAAAAAAAAACTAATTATAATAAATAAATAAAGTTGTCTAAGGAAGTGCACAGCCCCCTTGCTGAAGAAAGCTCATTTCAGCCGCTTGTATCCGGGACTTTGTTCTTTCAGTCATGATCCAGATTTTATGACCATATATAGGTGAGTGTAGGAATGTAGACTGACCAGTAAATTGAGAGCTTTGTCTTTTTGCTTAGTTCTCTCTGCATGTGTCTATGAATCTCCCACTCCATTCTCCCCTACCTTGTGAAAAGGACCAATATATATTGAACTCTTCCACTTGAGGCTGAAACTCTTCTCCAACCTGAAGGGGTAAAGTCACCTTTTTTCAGTGGGTAAACATGGCCTCAGACTTGGAGGAGCTGATTCTCATCCCACTCTCTAAATGATACTGCTTGGACTAGTCCCAATTAATATCCTATGCTGATATTATATATTTGTGCAGTCTGAAGCATGCAAATGTGATAATAAAGCAAAAGTGGAATATATCTAAGGGCCAATACAACTTTCAAACCACTATATATAACCTAATTTTAGGGCTTTGTGTGATTAAAAACATGAGAACATTACACAAATAATATGAATCTTTAATTTTCACTTTTTGCAAAACTATATTTGTACATGCTAATTAAATAGAATACATGATGTCTCCACTTCTTCAGTGGGCCATAATTTATCTGCCAAGCGTTGCTTTTGAAAAGAAATGGATCTTTTGTTTGATGTTCTAGGCCACTTTGGCCTTGGGGTTGTTGGGTGAATTGCTTTTTTCGTACATGTATCATTAGATTCCATCAGACTAAGCCATTAAGCAGTTTTTCATGGCCCATTGATATGCTACTGAGAGGGACAGGTAGGGGGCTACCATTGCTTAGGGCCAGTACAGTAAACGTAAGAGGTGTCGACTTCATAAAAAAAAAAAAAAAAAAAAATGGGTAAGAAACAAGAGTTGATGAAACATTTACTGAATAAAAAAGAATATTGCTGTTCAACAACATGTGTCCGGCTGGTAACTTTATATCAGTTTTCAAAATGTTACAGCTGATGTACTTCCCTTTGAGCATTTCCTTAATGTCACTTTGTGGGGTTTTTGTTTCAAGGGTCAACAATGTCACCATTACAAGAGCAAAGTGACAAGAATCTATATTTTTGACATGTATCATTTGAACATTTTAAATCTTTTTTTATTTGTGCAGGTGAAGATGAGGAGGAAGATGAAGAGTACTGACAAAGACAATGGTCCAGCTTCTCCCACAGTCCCAAGTATCACCTGTGACTCTGTGTTTGACAGCGGAAGGGAGCTAAGTTCAGATGTTTACAGCACTGTTGGGACAGGTACTACAACAGAACAAAGACAATATAAAGGTTTTGCTTCATCTTTATTTAGTACAGGCAATTTATTGATTAAACACTCTGATAACTCAAATTAAATTAATTTTACTGTAACAACTTATATTTAAATCTGAAAAACTCACACGGAAAGAAAAAAACTTTAGAAGGATCTTATTGATACAATTATTTTAAGACTTTGGCGCTCAGACCTCAGCAGGGAACATTAGCAATGAATCTTACTTTAATATGCATAAGCAGTTGCACGAGAACAGGGATGTTTCCCCCTAGCCCTGAAACTGTTGGTGGAGTGGAGATGGATGAAGTTTGATCAGTGTTTGAGCAGTGTGGTAAACAAAGAAGCTGGTGGCTATTTGGTCATAATTCGGGGATTCTTACTGGCACCACAGTCCTTGCGTGTCCTTGGGCAAAATGCGTGAGTCAGTGAGGAAGACTTTGGCTACAATGTAGCTTTTAATAACCATCAATGTGTGCGTGAATGACTGAATGTAAGTGATTTGGTCAGTCTCCTGATTTGAAAAAGTACTATATAAGTACAGACAATTCTCAACCTAAACCTGGGCCATGGGATACAGGAGTTATGTCCTCCAACCCAAGGGTTACCAGTTTGAACCCCTGCTCTGCCTGTTAAAAGTTGCTGTGTCCTTATATTGCCTACCTCTGGTCAAAGGGCCTGGTGGCAACCTTGCTTCTGCCAGTTTGCCCCAGGGCAGCTGTGCTGTGTCATCATCAGTGAGTGAATGTTTGCATGTGAATGACTAATTGTAGTGTAAACTGTCCCCTGACTTGAAGAGGCACAATAGGGCCATTTGCCTCATTTAAAAAAGTGAATGGATCTGAAAACAGCTTCAGTAGGCATACTAGTGTTTAAATTTGTATTAAAATTAAATTTGTCCTTAAACAATTTTACCGATTAACTTTTGACCATTCTGATGTGTAGATTTTACCAGTTGTCAAGGAAAAAAAAACATTTTTATCTGCAGTTTGCAGAGTTGTTGAGAGGGCTGTGTGCCGTAATCTGTCAGGGAAAAACCCTCCAGCATTCGAGGTACTACTGTATCCCAAATGCTGAACAAGATGAGATGGAACCCCTGCCCCTTAAGTTTTTTCCCCATTAGAAACCCTTCCTTTTTTTTCCACATGCACGTGTGTAAACACTCTCCTCAAGTTCATGCACAATTAAGATCTATATTCCCACTGCAGATCTCAATACTCAAATCAGATTTTTTTTTTCTGGAATCAATTTTTTTTATATATGTTTGGTCTTTCCCATAACTGCTAAGATGTTGTCAATATCTGACTTCAGTGTGAACTGTTTGCAGCTCCAAAATGACCTGCGTGCACTCAAGATTAATAACAGTGTTATGAAACGCAGCTCAATAGTAAACATGGACAAATAGGTGTCATACAGCAAAAGCTATTTAATGTGTCATTGGGGACCACTATGTGGTAAGAGGAGTAAAACTCTTTGTTGTAGCTTTATAGGGTAAGGTGACTGCCATTTCAGCACAATAGACTGTCTTGATGGTAAGACAAAGGCAGTTTGGGGGGCAGGGTTATTACCAACCTCACATAGGTTGAGTTAATTCAGAATTATATAGCGTCAAAACGACTTTTAATCAAATATGTCAACATTTACCTCTTTAGCATTCCTTCGTCCTCTGTGTCTTAGGTTGTATGTTAAATTGTATTTACAATACAAATTATGTCCCACATTCAACCGGTTCCTAAAAGCCCTTTTTTTTTTTTTTTTGGTCTTAAATAAAGTTTTATCAATGTTCACTGATTAAATCTAACGTCCCACTGTCTCTTCACTCTACCATTTCCTGCTGGGCAAATCTAAGTTGTGACGAAATCTATTGGAAAGTGACGTCCAAAAGTCACATCTAATCCACCTTAGACCTTTCCAATCAAGTCACCTTCTACAAGATCAGATACATAGTCATAATCCAGACCACACATGAATGTAGCTTCGCCCCTCATTGTACAAATGTCAGAGAAAAGCTGTTGTGGCTTATTAACGCTAAATTTGCTTGACCTCTTAATCAAAAACATATTTGAGGTTTTTTGTTTTGTTTTTTTTATTATCTATTTACAGTACGTCTTTTAACTAGCAATATATTGTAAAAAGGATTTTCTTAACCAGATAAAAAAAAAAGAGAATCAGGTATAGTTTGTTGAAGTGCCTACTTGACTGTCCTTAGATCTGTCATCTTTATGGAAAGAGAAGGCTGATTTAATTTCACCTGAAGTCTGCGCTGCGCTCTCATTCTAGTCTTTCCTGCAAACCTCCAGAAAACAAAGATGCATAGTTTGTTTCTGTGCATTCTGTGGTTATTTCTTGTGTATACAGAACTTTTAATCAAAGTATAAAATATTTACCTTGCAAACTTATCAAACTTTAAGCCATTTCTCCCCTGTGTGGTCCTGGCAGTGAGCTGTGGGAAAACAAGGGTTTGTCTTTTAGGAGAACTGGTTTTATGTGGCCTCATGATGCTTTTCCCAATAATGTTTTATTAAAACACTCATACATAACATAGAGATGATTTAGAGAGACCAAATAACCTAACTTCTCTGAGGAAGACAAAAGTATCTTGAGAAAACCGAGAAAGCATCAAGAGAGAATGATAACTCCAAGCAGAGAGACCCAATTCCAGAGGTTTTTAGTGTACCGTATATGGATATACACCTCCAAACACCATTCCATATTGTTACAAAACATTTAGGCTTTTGCTAGAAACCTGAAGATGAGGAGGAACTTCATCCTTTGGCTGAAAAATTATCCCAACATTAATTTTTACTTTATGTTCGACAGAGAAACATCAAAATAACTGCTAAGTCATATTGTGTCATGCCGATGGATTTCCAAATAAATATACCTTTCAACACCACAACAACAATCTAATAATAATTCAAACAAAAAGGTGGGTTACTCATATTCAGCACCACAACTGCACAGTTATGTACACAGGCCGAGGCAGACTTGCAGCCCAGTGTTGTCAGCCTGTTGTGTTCATTACTCAAACCGGGCTAAAACTGGGGACATAGCTCATTTCAGAGCAGCCGCAGAGCCAACCAGATAGCGAAGCTGGTGTGAGTGTGTGCAAAGTACCAGGTATCAACAGCATAACTCAAATTTAGTAGTTAAATCTAAAGGATGACCCAAAATGGGCTGATTATGAATTACTGCTAAGTAGGTTTATTAATCCAGTTAAAAATTGGTAGAGGTTTACCAAAATAAAAAGCATCACCAGATTAATAATGAGGAATGTTCAGCTGAGCCTACCTGGAATCAGTGAATCCTTCATATTCATACCTCTATTACTTACTTATTCAAATTTCATTGAACCTCCCCCTATAAAAACTCGGAAAACCCTCCCTCTCATTCTCTGGGTAGCTACTGTCCATTTCAAAAAATCTCTTTTATCCACAAATACTTCTTTTTTTGTTTGCTGTCACTCTTCTTGGTAATATCACTCAAAGACATGTTTACCAGCGAGTTGTATCATCTCCTTTTTTTTTTTTACTTTAAGCACTTCAAACTAACCGAATACCATTTGCCTAAGCTTTTAAAAGTGATTTTTCTCTGTTCATGTTGGACATACAGTTCAGGATTACTTCATATTTTTAACTCCCTTACTTTTTACAGTGTTAAAAAGTTCAACAGAGACTTTGCATGACTGTCCAATCTGAAGGACATTTTAAGTAAAATTTCTATCCAATTGTTATTTACAATTTAACAGATGGATGGATAGACATTCTTATCATGTGTTTAAGAAGGTCCCTCGTTTTTAAAAAGATCCTAGCAGAAAGATGAAACATCACTGTTCTTATTTACTAATCCACATACAGGGAAATAATAGATGGGTCTCTTCACAGTGTAGAGAAACAAGATATTAAAGGGGACTGTCTGTTTCAAAAGCAGATAAACACGGATACTTTTAGGACATCCATAGTATGTAACAGCTAATTGGATAGTGCTCTTTGTGGTGCCTAGTTAGACGACCTTTTTCTTTTAAACCAGGCGCTTACATGAAAAGCTGCTTAGATGTCTGACTGCAGCACCGACATAGGCGTGAAACTCTGCAAATGGTTTTTGCTTTGCACTCAGTTTTCTGTGAAACTGTAGAACTTAATATTCCCTGTTGTATGGAAGTATATGCATGTCTGCTTGCTGTACGTCAGCAGTGAATCAGTGTCTTTGATTAGAAGCTAAACAGATGCAAGCAGTCAGACTGAATGTCTAACAGAGTATAGCATGCTGCTTCTAACTTTGATGCATTTTCTAAATGACCACCTCTGTGTGTGGATGGATGGCGACTGGATGAACGTACAATATGTGCATCATATTCCCTAAGCTCCTAACATTATAGTTTCAGGAAAATGTGTTATACTTATATTGGTTTCCAAATTTTCCATTTCTGTTCAGTTGTCAAGATACCAAAATGGTTGTTATGTTTTATCTAAAACAGCATATAAATAACTAATGGT